AGAAAATAGATCCAGGAAAAAAAGAAAAAAAGAAACCATGAACTGACCTAAAACTGCCTCCACTGTGTGTGTGTGTGTGTGTGTGAAGGATGGAAAGACTACATCACAACTCTGACAGCCATTCAAGAGTCACCTACATAAAACAGTGTCATGACAACTACAGCTCACTTTTACAGCGCTGAGATGTGTGTTGCTGATGTCAGGGGTTTTAATGCCATAATAAAATAAAAAAGCAGTGTTATGTAAGCTTAATACAAACAACAGACATCAGATTTCAATAATTATTTATAGAACCCTGAAGAACAACATCATCATTAAACTTGTGCTGCGCAACCTGTATTCAAAAACACAAAAAAGAACCAACTACTGACATGTGACATTTTACAAAAATATTTCTTTATCATTATACATTTCTCCAGGGGAAAGTTTTAAAACAGAATAATGATATTCATGAGGTCACAGTTCAGTAAACATCACATCCTCAGACACACAGAAATGACATGTCTATTATTTTTCCTATATGGCTGTGTTAGTCTCTGGCTCCATCTTGTGGTGAAAGAAATACCCTGCAGTTATTTAAAAAGTGGGTCGGAGCAAATACTTTTCACGACCTTTTCATGCTTCCCCGTATGATGAAGAGGTGGGTCAATGTCATGAAATGTATTGAGTTGTCGTCACAGCCACGAGGTTCTTTGATCCATAGGCCAACGGATTCCGATAAGCTGTTTGAGCTGCAATATAGCGTGGGCTTACCAAATGTGCCAACTTATTATTGAAAATATAAATGAATGCTTCTTAAAAATATACAATAAAATCTCAAATAACTCGTATTTGTATGGAAGCCCATTTCTGCCAGTTAAAATTATGAGATATAAAGTCGAAATTATATGATATAAAGTCGAAATTATATGATATAAAGTCATAATAATGAGATAAAAAGTCAAAATTATGAGATAAAAAGTCAAAATTATGAGATATAAAGTCGAAATAATGAGATATAAAGTCATAGTAATGAGATAAAAAGTCAAAATTATGAGATATAAAATCGAGATTATGAGATATAAAGTCATAATAATGAGATAAATCGAAATTATGACTTTATTATTTTCATTTTTATTTTTTTTACTGGCGGAAATGGGCTTCCATATATTTGTGTCATTGGAATATCACATAGATGATGCGACCTGATATTTTATGAGCTATTATATTTGTGGTTTAAAGAATATCATGAAAATGTGATTTATTTTTTTAATTCTATTTTATTTTATTTAACTTAATTCTATTTTATGTCGTTGATTAATAGTGTCCAGTGCCAGTAGGAGGCGCAAAGTGGCCACGTCGTTGTCAGCGAACTACCTTAAAAAAAAAAGAAATCAGTCTCGAAGAAGAAAGGGAAGCCGAAGTTGCTGCTGCTGCGAGAAGCCGACACCGCCGTGGAATTTTTTGATAGACCCTCTGAAGACTTCTTCCCTGTTGGACCGGGCCCCCCCCCCCCTCTCCCCCCTCCTCTGCACCCTGAGCCTCACAGAATGGGGAACCTGCTGCACACCACCGGGTAACAACATGATACTGTGCTGTAGTATTGATGGTGCGACGTGTCTTGCGGAACATGAATGAACACAAAAAAAAAAGAAAAAAAAAAGGGGGTTGAGTGATGCTGCGCTTCATCCTCCTGAGACCGGTAACATTTACGATTTCACGTAAATTTTAAATAAGCAAGAATCAAATTTGTTGTAATTACAATACCATGAGGGTGTGTTTTTTCTCTCCTTTAAAATGATTATGCCGATACGTTTTCCAAAACACTTAAATGACGACACGACAAAAAGAAAATCCTACATCCGTAACACAGCTACTATTGAGGAAATGAAGGCTACCTGTTGCTGGTATGATGCACAAATAATTAAATACAATGTATGCTAAAAGGTAACACATTTTCGGAGATTTTATGGTATAATGCGAGAATATTATTGCATGTTAGTAAAAGTCTAACAAGGCTTTTAAAGTGAAAGGCTAACAGGAAGTGCTTTAACAAATTCTAATCCCCAATTTTTTTGATGAAATTTCCAATTATATTGATTTTTTTTTTTTTTTTTTAATTCATTTTTCTTCCACAATAATGATGAAGATTGGCAAAGAGAACAGACAGAGAATGTGAAGTTTCCCTTAAATATAAATACCAGGGGAAATCAATTGGGGGAATTATGTTTTTATAGAAAACCCCAGTGACTATATTTGTATTTTATTATGCAATAGTCTATTTAGGATGTGTTTTGAAATCTTTGGAAAGTTTCAAATATTTTATGAATAGCACTTTGCTGTAATACATTTTTTTATATTTTCTCTAATGGTGTGAAAATGACAACTTTTTCAAATTGTGACTTTGTTTTGTGTTCCAGTGTCTTCTGGACTGATTCTACTGTGTCTGAGAATGACACGAATGGAGGGACATTTGAAACCAGGAGGATCAGAAATCGCATTACTTACTATTATTATTCCACCTCCACAGAGGCAGCAGCATTATGTCTTTCCAAAGACTCCATCACATCACCGTCTCTTCGCAACATCTCACCCCTCAGTGTCTCATCCTCATCAGATCCTTCCTCGGCTCCGTTGCTCTCAGATTCACCTTTACCCTTACCTGTGTCCTCCCACATCCAATCAGATTCTGCCCTCCCTTCCCGCCCCCTTCTTATTTTCTTCTCCTGGCTCGGCGCCCAGCCCAGGGCGGTAGCCAAATACAGGGACCTTTATCTGCAGCGAGGCATGGATGTGCTCCTGGTCCAGAGCAGTGTCATGCACTTCCTGTGGCCCAGATGGGGGCTTGAGTATGGGTCGGAGGTTTTGAAGGTGCTGGAGGAGCCTCAGTTCTTAAACAGACCTGTGCTGGTCCACTCCGCCTCCATCGGGGGCTACACTTTCACCCAGATCCTCACACACATGGCTCGGGAACCGGAAAAACACGCAGGCCTGACCCAGAGGGTGATTGGGCACATCTATGACAGCCTGGTGGTTGGTACTCTAGAGCACATGGCGATAGGTGAGTGACAGTGATCCAGCTCAGGTTACTTTTGTTTGTGGTGTTAGTGTCTGTGTCGGATCTTTAAATAAGTCATTAGTCAGCTGACCCAGTGCTCCAGTTTGTCAGGAGTCCAGAGAGTCCAGCCTGTTTAAAACTTAGGACAGAGATTGCAGCTTGTAATTTCATCAGTAAAAATAAAGGGGAAAGATGTTTTCATATAGGTTGCTCTTTATTATTGTTTGAATTGATAATTTAGTCTAAAGATTTGCCAATTAAAAAAATTAAACCAAAATAAATCTTTAAAAAAAAAAAAAAAAAAAATTAAACAACTATTCTTTGAACTTTTTTATTTAATCATATATTTCCTTTCAAGAGCTGAAGAAGGAAAGCCAAATAACTCCAAAGTCACTAGTTACCCAGTTATAGTTGTCAGTTATTTATGGCCACAATTACAACTAAAAGTGAATTCTGCATTCTTTTACTGAAGCAAATTTGGCCACATGTTCACAATAATGAGGACTTATTTTGTGTACAGGGTTAATTAACTTGCTGTAAAATAAATGTTGGTCTATTCTGCTCTGTATACACTTGTGTACTTTTGAAAAACACACTCCTTTGAGTTGGCTACATTTTATGATCTATTTCTTGTTTTATTTTTGTATTCCTGCTTTTTCGCTGAAAAGTAATTAATATGTTAAAAATGTGAAAACAGGGGCGCTGGTGGCACAGTGATTAGTGCGCGCCCCATGTGTGGAGGCTGTGGTCCTCAAAGCGGGCGGCCCAGGTTTGAATCCCACCTGTGGCTCCTTTCCCTTATGTCATTTCCATCTCTGTCTACTGTCCTATCTCTCCATTAAAGGCACAAAATGTCCAAAAATAAATCTTAAAAAAAATAAAAAATATGAAAACAAATACAGGCCAAATTAAAGTCAAACAAATAAATAGACTCACTACTTGATGTTTTCATTCTAAGCAATGTCAAGATTTTATTTCCAAAGAATGAGCATGACTGACCCATAAATTAAAAGAAAAGAACAGAAGTAGGATTTGCAAAAACAATGGATGAAGTTTGGGTAGAATGGGAGATTCTTAACTGTGAAGTAATGATGTTGTGTCTTATTATCATTCAGGTCTTGGAAAAACTCTGGTCCCACGTTTAGAGAGCCTCGTCAGAAATGCGGCCATGTTCTACTTTTGGCTCTTCAAAAGCCACACGGCAGACTTCTATAACAGCAGCATCCAGGTTTTCCGCAACAGCCCAATCACCGCCCCAGCTCTCTTCTTCTTCAGCGAGAACGACGCCCTGTGCAACCCGCTCGCCGTGGAAAACTGTATCGACCTCTGGAGGAAGAGGGGCGTGACCGTGGAAAGCCGCAAGTGGAAGGAGTCGATACACGCGGCCCACATGCGATGCCACCCTGAAGACTACGTGTCTACTCTACAGGAATACTTGAAGTCACTGCACGCTTCCTCCCTCAAAGCAAAAATGTAAACGTCGGGGTAGAAAATCCTACCTGGACCGAATATTTAAACTGTAAGATGCTTTTATGCTCTTTGAACTTGCAACTTTGGAATGAATAACAGTGTAATTTAACCACGATGATCTCTCTTAGGGACTCTTATTTGTTTGTTTGTTTCATATTAACCAATATAACATAACTTACATTATGTATTTATTCAATTACTGTTTGGGTCCTATTCTGTGATGCTTGTTTGCACAGGGATTGCTTCCTAATGAACTGATTTGCACTAGTTAGTTAAAAATATGCAGAATAAAACTTGCTATTTATGACATTGTTCCATTATTTTTTTTCGCTCTGTTTTCTTAAGATGAAAATCACAAAATGATTGAAATCATAGGGGATGTTTTCATATTTGAGCAGTGGGGGTTTGTTTCTCGCTGAGGGTGAACATGTTGCGGGAGGGGGGGGTGTTTTAATCAGGCATTATATGGGGCACCTAATGGCTGTTGCTTCCCAAAGCAGGACGTTAACATGCAGGACACAGAAAGGTGAGTGACGGGGTCAGGACAGGTAAATGCTAAATCCTGCACTCAATACGTTCACTTATGTGGTGGGAAAACGAGGCAGCACTCGATTGCTTTGACGCATTTATGTAGTTGTAAGCTCACAGTTTAGAGACGTGTCTTTTAGCAGCCTAAAGAATGGCGCCACCTGCTGGCTAAATAAGTAGTTTCACCTCACAGTCCTCTGGATCCAACCTGTAACTTTCCCCTCTGATGTACTGCTTTCTGCTGGGTGTATTTTGTTAAATGAAACGTGTATTGCAAAACCTGATTGCATTTAAAAGGACAATAGACCTTTGTGTACAGAAATAACATTTTATTTAAGACGTTTGATAAACAATGGGGTAAAGATGTATTAAAAGAGAAAAAGCTATAAAAACCCACAATGAGAGGTTTCTCCAAGCCCTTGGGTAAATTAAAATGTTATTTTAAATATGAACAAATATATTTAGTTTCAGCTGGTTAATTAGGCTACGACTCCCTATCTTTAAGAACAATTTATTGTTTTCTGTGTGAGGAAGCACTTTCAGGCTATTTTAATCTACATAAGAAGTTATTTATTTTTTATTTTTTATCGTGTAATGGTCAACTTAATGTATTTAGTTTTATTGATTTAAACAAAAATAATCAAATTTAGTTTCTAAATTTAGAAAGGGAACTAGCTAACACGGCTTGAAAAATTAAATGATTTTTGGTTAAGATTGGCGGAGTGATATTTTTACGCTGCGTTAATTTGCTCTACGGTGAAAACAGATATTGAAGTTGCGGCGGTGTTGGGACTTTGAAAACTTTATTAAAGCTGAAGTTTAATAATGCCAACATTTAATTGCAAACACATAAAATGACCGTAGATATGTTAAATACATGTTCAGTGACGAGCTAAGTTTATGCATTTCAACAACATCTCGGTTGTTATTATTCTATTGAATTTATTTACGGCATCACACTGCCGTGACACTTTAAATTTGGACTTTTCCAGTTTGTTGTTTTGCGAATCTTGTTTTATCTCTGAAAAGCAAAACTTTATTTTGAATCTGTCAAAGTTCAAAATGTGTTTACTTGAGTGAAGTTAAAGACCGCAATAAAGTGAAATGATTCTGTATTATTCAACATTCTTAAATTTATAATTATTGATTGAGAAGATTGTCCTTTAAACATGTATTTTGAATGAACTAGTTTATTTTCCTCAAGGTTTGTAATATTAAAGGTTGATTCAACTTTAATACATGAGATTTTTTTTTGTCTAATAGACTAATTTCAGATCATTTTGCAAAGAGGCCTTGAATGTAAGAAAGTTTTTTTCAAAAAGAAAAATTGTACATGCAATAAATATTAATTCAAATCTTTAATGCAGTTTAATAAAACATTTCCGTTTTTAGCTTAAATGGTCCACATCATTTTTTCTATCAGCTTAATGTTTCTGCTCAACATAAAGACTCCCGACACTTTTGCACCATTACTATTATACATCGATTAGATACTTTTCCAGATGGCAGAATACTGATTTTACAACATCATAATCATTTGTAATATTTCAAACCATACTTTAAGAAATGAAAGTACCAAAATCTACTCACTTACATAGCAAATGAGATGTACTGTAAGTCAACCCACATAATTAATCACTGCTACACTTGAAATACTTTTCAGAGCTCTGCAAAAATATTTATCAAAACAAAACTACATGTAACTTTCATTTCATGCAAAAAATAAAAAAGCCTTTACATGTTTTTTGGTATTTATACTAAGATTTGGTGTCTCTGTGCATTAGGTGTGGATTTTTCAGCAGACCTTGAGTTTGTCCTTGTGGAGAAGTAACGTGTCCAGATAGCACTGCACCTTCATCAGAGTCATGGATATTTGACTGTCCGGGAACAAATGTACCGTGGCTGTTCCTCGAGGTCTGGCCTGGATGGGACAGCCCATCGTCTGAGCGAAGTACCTCACCAGTCCCTCCAAACTGGAGACGTCGGCCTGAATCTGACTGAGCAGCTCTGTGAAGAGGTTCTGCAGCTCAATGGTCAAAAGACCGAGGTCACGGCTGATGCTTGTTAGTCCATCAATGGAAGGAGTTCGGACTTCTATATGTGTAGCCACCGGCAACTAAGGACAAGAAGAAGTGAGTATGTATCAGTTTGTGTCTGAAACTAAATAATGATATATTTCTTCATTGTACACTGTTACATTTTCTTTAAAACACACTATGCCATACTCATACATTTGTCCGTAGTTCTTTAATGTGCACCAGGGTTGTCTGAGCTATGTATATTAAGCTGTCCACTGTATTTTGAATTGAATTTCCATTCGTGGGAAGACATGAGCACCCAGGAGCACTTTCAAGAGTGAGAAGAAGTAGGGCCCAAACAATATGCATCCTAAGAGAGAAAAAAGTAAATTACATTTCAAAAGTCGTCAAAATCACAATGCATTTTTTTTTTTAATCCTGTTTTTCTTACAGTATGTCAAGTTTGAAACAAATGTAGCATCTTATACATGTCTCTATTATAATGGTCTACTACATTGTAAAATATTAATTTCTTACCTCTTTTTTTTTTTTTTTTTAGAATTGCCGCTGCTCCTGAATCACTGAATGACAGAGAGATGACACACGCCTCTCTGCAGGTTTTCCCCAGTTTAAATAGTCCTGGTCCTGCTGGGGTCCATTCCGCGTCTCTCTCCTCCTCCCCCCTCCAAATCTTAGCCTAACCTTCTATCAACAAGCTCCAAATATGAACAAAATTCACACGTAATTTATCAAACTTATCACATGATTATGACTCAGTTGCTTTTGTTGCTTGTTTTTCCCGTAAGAGGATTTCACTTGATGAATGGATATTTGCTGGTTTAAGCCTGTGTTTGATGTTAACAATGCATCCTAATTTTTAAGTACAGGAAAATGTGTAGGTAGATTTTTACTCAGAATGGCATCATGCAGTGCATACCTACTAATACCCATGTGCTCCAATTACAAATCAATAAAGACTCTGACGATAAGGTAGAGGAGAAAAGAACATTTACATACATACAATTTGTAAAGCCATGTTTTTCAGGTGAAATACATGAGAAACTGGTATACCATATGTAATTTAGAATAGAGGAAGTGAGTCATCACCTTTGATGCTACTGTTTTCATCAGGGTTTGTGTCATCTTATTGCTGACACATGAATGAAGAACTATGAAAACAATTTTCCTTCCTGCAGCGTTTTACTTGTGACGCTTTCCTTCCTGTTTTTGATTCATTAGTCAAAGCCAGAAACAAGGAGTTAAAATAAAATGTGATGGTTTCCAGAGGTGTTTTCTCTTGCATGTGTAGGTGAAGTACTGACGTTAGGAAAGTGATGCATACGGCAGGAATGTTTCTCTCTGTCTTTAATTAGTTGTTTCTGCCAATGAGAGTCGAATTGCTGTAAATGCTACCTGTGACTCAATGGCAGCCTAGTCATATGCTGACTAATTCATCTGCTCTATACTGTAAGCCTCTCTTACAAAGGTGTAGCCTGCTATACCGTTAGCTCAGTTGAGTCAGAGTAGCTAATATCTTTGAGTGAACTGTTCTTTGATCTACCCTTTTAGAACAAAAGTCCATGCTCTTTTTCCTTTTTTGTGTCTAGTAGCATGCTAGCTGAGTCCACTTGGCCACAACTTAGAGTTTAGCATACACACATTCCTGAGGTAAATAATTCTATCTAGCTTTAAAGAAACAAACTAATACGTTGTTAGTTTAGACCTAATCTGAACAGTCATAGTCTAGCTAACAGCTTTTGTTTTAAGTAAATATCCTGGATACTTGTAGTCTAGTTTATTAGTTAGGTAGGTTACCTGAATTCTTGTAGTATACCTAACATGTTGTAAACTAGATACCTAACCTGAATTCTTGTAGTATAGCTAACATGTTGTAAACTAGGTACAGAATGTCAGTCCCTTAGTATAACTAGCATCTTTTTAAGTTGGTGTCCTGAATACTCATTGTCTACGTTTTTACTTGAGCTTGTGCCATGAGCTATTCCATGCTTCTATGTATTTTTCACAAACTTATCTCTCTTGTCAGTGCTCTTTTGTCTATAATCTCCCTTTTATTTTTAATCTAAGCTCCAACTGAGACTCAGTTCTGTTTTTGGTAAATCATAGGCACAAGATTCCTGGAACTTTAGTTAATTCATGCCAGAAGTATTGTTGAGATTGCCAAAACAAGCCTCTAGACTTTATGTCAAGCAATCTGCTGTCATAGCTCCTTTATGTTAGAGGAACAAAGGGATCCATAGATTCTTTATCTGTGTAGTAGACGACAGGCTACAGAGATACACATATAGAAGGGGGAGGAAAACTTATTGGAATGCCAGCGTTGGTCATTTCCAGTAAGAACGGGCCAATTCAGTTCGACACCCCCCTGCTCAGGAAATGGTTTGTGTAAAAAAAGGCCTGTTCATGTTAGTCTTTTGTTCTGCATCTCCCGTTTCTGAGTGCACCGCCGAAGTAACGGCAGTGAGAGAGACATGCCCAGACATGTTTGGATTCAACTAAAAGGACTCGTGTGTTTTCTGATGGACTTTTACTATTACTGTGTGTGTCCGTGAGACAAGTACGACGGAGGATTAGGGCCATGTTAAAAAATAATAATATTTTTTTAAATTTCGAGATTAAAGAGAATAATCTTGTAAATTAAGCTAATGAGTTCGAGACCAGCCTGCGTAAAATAATGGAAGTAGAACTTTTCCTCTGCAGACAACTTCCTCCAAGTCATTGTGGTTCTTTCTTCAGTTTCTTGCAGTATCTTTTCAGGGTGCTGGTATGTGAAGATGATGATGTGTCAAAAGTATGTGTAGTTTCATATCTATATAAGGAAAGCCCCAACACAACTATTTGTGTCTGTTATCGGTCTGCCTTGTTAAAAGTGTCTTACAAGTTGAAGTGAAAACTTCTCTTGAACTAACTGTTTTTACCAACTACACAAGGAAGTAGCCTATTTCCTTATTAGTGAAACCTTTAGGACAAGATGCTCCATGTTTGTCATTTGAGAACAGGATGCTGCTGCTCTTCTGCTTTAGAATAAAGTCGTAAATTTACAAGTTTAATCTCGTAAATTTACGACTTTAAACTTGTAAATTTACGACTTTAATCTTGTAAATTACGACTTTAATCTTGTAAATGTACGACTTTAATCTAGTAAATTTACGACTTTAATCTAGTAATGTTACGACTTTATTCTCGTAAATGTATGACTTTATTCTTGTAAATTTACAACTTTAATCTCGTAATGTTACGACTTTAATCTCATAATGTTATGACCTTAGTCTCGTAAATGTACGACTTTATTCTCGTAAATTTACGACTTTAATCTTGTAAATTTACGACTTTCATCTCGTAAATTTACAACTTTAATCTCATAATGTTATGACCTTAGTCTCGTAAATGTACGACTTTATTCTCGTAAATTTACAACTTTAATCTTGTAAATATACGACTTTAATCTCAATTTTTTTTAATTTATTTTTTACGTTGCCCTAATCCTCCGTCGTAGACAAGTGAGTTGAGTATTGCTGGAAATTAATGTCTTTTGTATTGTTCATAGCAACTTTGCCTGTTCAATTTCTAAGTGCTGATGTTGTTTTTCACTCTAAATACACACTAATTTCTAGCTAATTGACAACAGTAGCATAGCTTGTTTTAAGGTGCAAAAGTGCATTGATGGCTAAGTGCTAAGTGTTTTCAACAGTCTGTATTCTGGAATGTTCTATGTATAAGTCACATTCCTAATTGTCTTTCTTTTATTTCTTTTAGTATAGAACCACACACACACACATTCAGTTCAATTATTTAAAGAAAAGGAAAGGCCTCAAACTCATGCCTTGTACTGTCACCTGGATTCTATATAAATGGCTTGAACATACTGGATTCTCCATCTTTCTTCCTTACTCACACCTTTGCATCAAAAATAGTGTTCTGACCTGACACCCTGAGGTGATTTCTGCCGCCCTTTATTGGATTCTTAATACCTCTCATACAGTTTGGGTTCACTTCTTATGACTAAGCGATGAGTCTGGTTGTACAATAGACGCAAGACCTGCAAAGGATCAGATATCACAGACAGTTGAGTTATTGAGCGTCCAAGTTTTATCTGGAACTTGCAAACTCAAAAACGTATTTCATTACTTTTTTTACCTCATTAGATGACACATCTCGACAACAACTAGATGGTTTCACAAATACATGATTGTCTGAGTAATAATCCTCATGATCTTGGTGATCCATGGCCTTTGTTTTATTGTTTTATTTCAGATTCATTGGTCCATATTTAAATAAAGACATCTCTGGGAAAAATATGACAGTTCACAAATCCATGGGGATGTTTTGAAAAGCAAGAGTTATACCTTATGCAAGTATATGATTCAACCTTTGGAGTCATTTAATCTGCACCTAACTTTAGTGCCACCACAATCAGGCTGACATGTTTTTTTGTGAAATAATGGCAATTATTGGATTTATTGTCATAAATTGAATTGCTTCTATTGCATAATTTCTAGTAACCTCAATGATAAATAACTTTTTACATTTGCGTGATGATTAGCTTCATGACCAAATAACATTCCCATCTGCCTTTACTCTTTGTGTCTACTGCTTATTAGCAAAGTAAGCATGCCAACAGGCTAAACTAAGAAAGTGAACCTGGTAATAAGGACTTGCAAGACATCAGAATTTTAGCATTGCCACTAGGATGCTGACATTAGCATTCTGTGCTATTTGCCAGTTTTAACAGTGTTTTTGCTTAATTGTCTTCTTTTAATAGCTTACTTTTTTGCATGAGCTAGCATTAGCTAGTCCCCAATACATGTTACTGCTTAATTTTTTATTCACTTCTAATCTAATTTGAGCTAATTTCTCCCCATCCTCTTTTTTCTCTTTTGTGCAGTTATAGCTAAAATTTGTGTCACAATCTTTTTCAAGTATCTCCATATCTCCAACCCCGACTTGCTCTACATGACCCAAACATTAATGTTATTGTCATTGTTTGTGTTTTGTCAACTGTTGCTTCTTTCTTTTCTTTTCAGCTAGTTCCTTTCTAATTGTATTAAGTGTAACCATTTTCTACATGTAAAGTCATTTCAGCAATATCAAAAGGGAGGAAAAAAACAGTTAAAACCAATGACTACAGCACTTACGATTGAAGGTTTAACCATATTTCAATACTTATGTGGTTTCTCTTGGAAGTAATGCAATTCATCAATCAGAGCCTCTAGACCTGTTGGATTCATTTCTTTGCGTCATCTCCAGTGACCTGACTAAAAAACACAAAATTGTCCTGCCAGCTGACTGACTGGAACAAGACTTATTTTCTGCAAAGTTCACTCAAGTAATGTCAGATCGGCTTTGAGTCAGCTATTGGGAATTAAGTTTAATCACGTCATTGGGTTGAAACAAAATACTTGGCTGTTCTTGGCAAAAACATGAAGTTAAAACCAAAACACAGACCAGATCTTCAATGGCCAACGACAGCACATTTTTCCTCGGACTGCGTATTTAATATCACCAAAGGAAGTTGCACATTTTTCCTGTAAGTTTGTGAATACGTCATGGGGAGGAGACTACCAGTCAGTTTCACCATTTAGCAAAAAAAAAACCCCTGCTGTAAACATGTTCTGTTTCCAGCTAAGACTAGTGAAAACTTCACCAGAACATATTTTGATATGGTTCAGTTCTTTTTGTGTTTGTGCGTCTTCATGATGAAGCGCCACAGTACGTCACAGTCGTCTGTTGCAGTTCTCAAAACGTCCTCTGGAGAGCTGCACTCATCCAGAAATGTAATGGTGCAGCAGTTAAACAGTGCATGTTGAGCATGTCTCAGGCAGTTAGACATTCTTTCTTTCTTAATCATTTCCTTTAAAGGCAAGTCTTTAATGCAACATCCCAGAATTCATTTATTTAAGGCCTCTTTGGATAGGACTCTCATGGGATTTTGGCTCAGGGTTCAATTTATTTTTCTTTGAATTTTTTTTCTCCTTCCCTATCCCTTTCTAAAAAAAAATATATATTTTTTTTATAATTCCTTCTTATTTGATCTTACTGCACTGGCAAATCTAAAAGACTTGATCTAA